CCATGAACAATTTAGTCTTTTTCTAATCACAAACATTCCCATAGTAGCCAAATATAACCAGCTCACATTTCTGTCTTATTCTCTTGTAAAGCGTACAGCGATGCTGACCTCATCCTCTATATCTTCTACATTTGCCATCCTTTCTGCCACTAGCTGGTTTCTCTGTCATTCTTTCCCACAGAGTCGCTATGAATCCAGTGTCTCTGTTGTGTAGGAGTCTTTTTTTCTGAAGGCATAGGACTTCACTCTGGTTTTGCTGGACATTTCTCCCAGCTAAACACAGAGTTTTTCCTCTCCACTGTCGTCCTGTACTTGTTCAGGATCAGAGACTGCATTGACATGAAGGTTCGATGTAGTCATCTTGCTTTCTCATGCACACAATTTTTTACTAAATAAAGCAAACTGGGAGTCTGCCTCTGTGATACCTACATCATCCAATTGCTGCCCACCGCAGCCAATCATCACTCAGGATTGCCTAATCATCATCCATGGATCCACCTGCTTCCCTGCTATGATTAAACCTGCCTCCTTTTAATGCAAGGTTGCTCTAAAAGTTGCATTGAAAGTCCATTAAGAGTTCCAACTTTGCATTAAAATTGTCATTTACCGAATGACACTTCATGACAACAATAATAAACATTCATAAACACTCCTTAATGTTCCTGACAGATGTGTCATGTGTATGACAGTGTCCTGTCAGTCTTATGCACATCCTGTCAAATAAAGTGTTACGTTTACATATAATTAATCTATGTAATGCAGGAATTTTGCCTCTTACTAAAACTGAGTTGAATGTAATTACATTTCCTATTTTTATCAGATGGAAATAGAAGAAAATTATGGAAAATGTAGGGCTGGAGAGAGAAGAAATGCTATTCAGTACAGGAATCAAATTCCTCAGTTGAATTTAGCCTCATGAAAGGCTGATGAACAGCAGGCCTCTTTGGTCTGTTTAGTTTGGACTTTGGCATAATTGCAGTGCACTGAGAATTAAAATAAAACAGCATACTAACAAAATATTGTTGAGGGAGTTTTTGTGGATTTTGTGTCAAGAACAGAAAACTAACTTTACTCTCATTCTAACATTGCAACAAACAAAAACATGTGTTTAAAGGACACAGTGAAGTGTCAAACCACATGGTTATCAGTCAGTGATGATGCCTCATAAGAAGGAGCTATTCTTTTCATGTGTTTTACAAAAAAGTCTGCAGGATTAATATGAAACAGCTCTGCATCCTCTGTTTGATTGGCTCACAATATGTATTCCAGTAAATAAAGACCACCGCACTGACAGATTGCATAAGATTAAAATGAGATTTTTGCCGGGGGGCTTGGGAACAACTTCAGCAGTGTGATGCCGCATCATAACAACATTTTTCTGAAGTTTGTGTTAGATGGATTTTCTACTAACATCTCAAAAGAGCGAAAAAAATGCTTAGTTATGCATGGTTTTTATGCCGCACACATGCTCATCAATTAAGTAATTATAAAAAAAGCAACATTTTTGAAAGAAAATGCAATCGTTTGCACAATGATAAACTTCTGCTGGTGAAATGAAAATAAATGTTGTTTCCTTACCTCAGAGATTAATGAGTGTAAAACATGAAAAAAATATCCTTTGATGTTGCATAATTTCTTCCAGCATATTGTTTTCATTTTTCCCCATCTCTATTCACCCCATAATCTCCACCATCTTTCATATAAGAGAGCTTCAGAACAGTCACTCTGCTCTAACAGTAACAGATGGAATTTATAATCGTGTGCCATAAACTTACAGAGTTGTGTTTGGCAAGAAAAGCAATAAAACTAACATCAAACTGCTCTAATTATATTAAATTAAACGTTGCATTTTTCAAAATGAAAAGGCTGAGGTTTACGCTGGATACTGAAAACAGTTTTCTAACAGCTTTCCAATCAGCTGTTACCCAGGCTTAGGCTTCATATGCAACAAATTTCAGATGTAAATGAAATTCCTTCAGTGCTTCAACTTCTGCGCTCCACAATTCACTAAAAACAAGATGATGAAACAAGAGTCTTATTTTTCCTTCCAATTAGTCATACTGCACTGTTTGCATTGTTTTGTTTTTATTCTTTTGATGTAACAAATTCAGATGAAATATCTGCAACATATTAAAAACAATGGGACATTACTTTTGCTCGAATGTTACAGCAGCCTTCCTGGCAACTACATAAAGTATCATAGAGAAATCCAAGTGTTTCAGTTCAGTAAGGTTTGTCTGTTGAATTCATCTGTTTCTCCACAGCCTGTGATCCCACTGTGTGGACGCTAATAACCCTCAGGCAGACACTTTTGTCAAAGACATTTTCAAACTTCGACATGTAAAAACCACATGTCTGTTTTAGACCATGCTGATGAGTAAAGGGCTCATGCAACTACAAATTGCAGGCTTGTTTGCTTTATTTTCATGTGAGATGAGAGGGTCTCCTGATGTTGATGGTGTATATGCTTGGTTATATTGAAAAATTATTTGGGATGTTGCCTTTCTACATGTTTTTCCTTCTTTGACTTCAAAGTTTCTTTATCACACAAATACCACTCTAAAATGTTACTGTTTTTCTGAACATCGTCTGGAAGGATAAGAGATGATTTTGAGAAAAAATTACACTTGATCAGCTGCTTCAGACACACTCACACACAATTACTGTCATTAACACATAAATCTTAAATCTGCCATCTGATGTTTAGTTTGAACTTCAGCAATTCATCTTCACTTCTTCTGGATGCCTAAATGTGTCCTGTTGTTGCCATGTTATCAGCAGATTTGCTTATTTATGTGATCAAACAACTGAACAGGGATTATGAAAAGGAAACAAAGAATGTGTATACATACACAAATAACAGATTTTCTAATAAAATACAAATATTTAATATTTAGTAATATGTAAAATTTTATTTTTGACATATTTCCTACTAGGTTTTATTCCACACAAAAATTACTTCATATTTGAAATATTTACAATTGTTCATTTTCTTAACGTTTGTAGAATACCTTGAATATGAAATGATGAAAACTTTTTGTTACAAAGATATTGCATAAAAAGGACTTCACTTAGTCAAAAAAGACCCATTTACACATCAAAGGGTTAAGAGGATCCTCCTCACCTACAGTTCAAAAGATCAAGTTAATATGTCTAACTTGTGAAAAAATACTTATGCTATTTATAAATCCTATCAAAAATATTTTTAATTACGGTAATTTGTTATTATTATTATTATTTATTTTTTACAAATATTGTGACAAAGTCTCAGATTTTTACATGTATGAGTTGGAAAACAGAACAAATGCAAAACTTAAATTTATACACATTTACTGACTTACCGCATTAATTGATGCATTGATGCATTAATTGACAGTAATCTCACCCCATTCATAACTCTTTGTGTTTCCACAGCAACTAAAAAAACAAGAACCTGACAAGTTGTTTGACATCATCATGATGAGAATCTCTATGTTCTCATCGATAATGTCACAAATGTTTACAAAGAGATACAAGAATTCAAGAATTCTCAGTTTGCTTCTCAACTTGGTTGGAGGCAGATCGATTCCTGAGAGACGACTTCAAACTGATTCTACAAACCATTTTAGCTGATCATCAAGTCAAGAGGATTTTGATATTTATGGGACCTTGGATTTCTTGTTACGAAGGGAGTTGAAAAGTTGTTAGGATATAACATAAGAGGCAACGATGGTTTAGTAGAGAACTCTGAGGACAAGTGATCAAAATACTTTGCTTTTGACATTGAACCCTGAAGACAAAAAGGACATGGAAGATTCCTCTATGGAAGAGAAAGATACTGGAAAAACATGGAGAAAGAAGGAGACCATCTCTAGTTCAGCAAGTTTGATCATGATGAGTTTCATTTAATTTTTGCTGTAAACTAACAGCTGTGACTTAGTTTGTGAGTTATAATAAGCTTCATCAGGTGAAATTTGTCTAGTATTGCTTTGCTCACAGAAAAACATTTTTTGACAATTTGAAACATTTAAAACACTTCTCTCTCCTTTTTTGTGTATTGTATATGCTTGCTGTAATTTCTGACATATTTGTGATTAGTGTAAATTTGACTCATAGCTTTAAATGTTAAAATAAGTAAAATAAGTAATATATAAATATATAAAAAATAATAAAAACAATAAATAGTAATGACACAAGTAAAACAGCTGCACAAACAGGAAGACAGGTATTGTGAAATTAAACACAAAAGTGAATACTTTCTGACAGTTTTCATTTACTTTACCACAAAGATGTGGTTATTGTAGTTGTTGTTTTTCTCTATTTAAAGGAATGCCCAGTTCCACTTTTATGAATTTTTATTATGTCTAGTTGAGTGTTTCAGAATGATGCAAAAATAATAAATAGATCTTGTTTTAACAGTTCTGTCTTGTAAACTGAGAGGAAAGATGCTTCTAGCCTTGCGCCCCTTAGGAGTAAACATAAACAACTTCTGGACAATTTACAATGACATCTAAGTTGGAAAACATATGGGGACAAATAAATGCACTGCTTGTTTGTATATTTTTAAAAATGTGGAAGCAGACAATAGTTGACAAAAGATAAACTTGTATATTTATTGAGTTATTCTCAATTTGTACCTCTTAGAGGCTGTAAGACAAATATATTGCTTCAACTTTAAATATTGTAATTTAGTTTTTTTCTTGATATGAATGAATAACATAACTTTATATCAAGAGATAATTACCCAATTTTTTTGAAGGATTGGAACTCCTTCAAACAAAACAGCAGTCAGTTAAAATGAGGCTCTATCTCACTGATGTAAATATTTCCAGTTTGACTTGTTTTAAATGGCTAAAAACAACCATTCACCACATCCACCTCTCTTATTAAGAATCTTTATTTGAAATTTCTTAGAAAATGTGTTAATATTGAAAGTCAAAAAGTATTTACACATTGTACATAAAGTGCTGGGTGTTGACAAAAAATTATAACATACAGAAATGAGTGCTGTTTGGCCAGCACACACAAACAGTAGAGAAACAAACAAGAGTTATAAATAAAGCAACTTAACAAGTTATAATTTAAATAGTCCATAACTTGTATTGGGAGCCACATGAATAAATCAATAGTTATGAGGAATTTTATTAAGAGCAGTTAAAGCTTTTGTATTTATAACCATAAATGTTTGTAAAGGTGTGGCAAAGATTAAATCACTCATATATAAGCAACATTTGAATATTAGTTTTACTTCTCAATTTTACTTACTGAGAAAAACATGTTTGTTCTGCATTACTAGTCATTTTTGGTCCTGCAGCTTGAATGTGGTTTAAAACTTTTTACGTTACATTTCACTGTAACTGTGCCGACCCCCACAAAATTGCTTTTAAGAAATATACCTGTTTATGGTCCTCCCCAATAATGAGATGGGATTTATGCCCTTCACTACACAAACTCTTCTACTGCCCTTTAATTTATTAAAACATGAAAGAGGCCATTTTTCTGATTAGAAAGAGAGAGAGACATAATTACAAAGTATGCTGCTTTTCTTTGCCTGTTAAAGTTAAAGATGTCATGAAAACATAAGTGTAGAACAGCAATCAAAAGTGTTTCATTTTATGAATGCTTGTGTAAAACATTCAATAACTGGTTAAAATGACCATCTGCTTGTATTTAAATTGTGGATTTTTTAAAGAATGTGATGAAAAGCAGGTTTTATTTCAGACCATTCAAATTTATAAGTTCATATTTAATATTGATCTGTCCTGCAAACAACTTAAAATGTTAATTAAATCCCTGTTGTCAGTATCTCCCCCTTGAGGTTAGACTCACAACAACAGCTGGCCTCAAAATAATAAAGTTCTGTGGCCAGAAAAAGGCAATTGCCGTGGAAGAAAGAAATAATTCAAATCCCAAAATGTTAATTCAAATCAAACATTTTAGATCAAAGGTAGCATGTGCTGAGCTTGCTATGACAGTAGGAGTAAAGCATTTTAAACACGAGACTTTTTTAAACAAATGTTATCTGCCATGAAAAAAAAATGTACAATGATGAATCTGTTATCTTATAAGTAAAAAACAAAAGTGCCCATGCTATAGTGAGACAGAAATTACATGGTAAATGCTATATTTTAAAGAAAATTGTTGATTTACTCTATTTATACACTTAATGACAATCTGAAGCACTTTGATAGATATCTTGCCTTGTGGGAGTGCAGGCTTAGTCAAAGTGCTCAGGTACCACCAAGCTGCATGCACGTTCACACTGGAAGGGGTTAGATTGCGCTTTATTCACTGCAGCCACGTAACAAAAAACAAAAACATAACAAAAAAAACTGTTGTGTGGCTTAGACTTTCAGTCTACGAAAAACTTTTACAGATAACAGGAGTATGCTGGACAAATGATCAGGCACATTTTAAAATGTCAGTCACTAACTGTGCAGAATATCTCCAGAATATGTCAAGTGATCAATGTCACATTTAAAATGGTCCATGCCTACACTTGGATTTCAGCCTCCAAAAGACTTGCAGTATGGGGCCCTGAGTCGAGTCTAATCCCCCCAACTCCTGTGTCCGAGACAACTGGTGAGGAGCTGGGGGTCCTAATGGTGAGAGAGGACAGAGATGGGGTGAACGTGGGTGTCATAGCTGACGGGGTGAGTCCTGTGTTCCTGGATAATGGAGAATACACATATTTGGGGTAGGAAGGCTTCCTGCTCAGGGTTGGTACTCGTCCAGGTTTTCTTGGAGGAACAGTCCGAATGCCTGGGTGAGCCACTCCTGTTATGAGAGGCGGTGGGTACATGAGAGAACTTGACTCTGTAGCAAAATCTTCATGGCCACCTTGAAGCTCCTCATCAGGAAGCATACCAATATCAGTGAACACAGCAGCCAGAGAGTGAAAGCGTGGTTCCCAGTCTAAAAGGAAATCCCAGCTGTAGCTACCCTCCAGTGGCTCTTCAAGGCACACCAGTGAAGTCAGAGACTCTGCAGAAGCTTGAGCCTTGGAGAGAGGGGCATATCCTCTTGCCTCCATGGAATCCTCTAAATCTTTAACTCTAAGTATTGCAGGCAGTAATCCTTCCCCTCCACCTTCCTCTTTGAAATGGTTGAGACTTTCTGTGCTTGATATGCCCTGTGCTAAACATTTAGTAAGAGATAAAATATATTCTGGCCCTACGTCAATAGAGTGGAATGATATCTTATCAAATGGTATAGTGGAGTTGGGAATCTCTGTGGAATCTTCATCTCTTTTATAACAGGGAAACTCATTGATCCACTTGATTTCCTGATCCTCAGCTGTCTCACCCTCTGCTGATCCACGGCCACTTGAATCTGACTGGGTGTATGGGTTAGAGACGTCTCTCTTTGCAACAAAACCTCCGACTTGTGTCAACTCCTGCAAGGAAAAGTCACAGCGCATCTGGTTGTTCGATTCATCAGATGAGTCAGTCCCATGGTTCAACTGTGCAGCAATGGCAGAGGCCTTTTTCAGGACAACTTCTTTAACTTTACATCTGAGAACCAAGCCCACAAATATAACTAGGACAAAGAGGAACAAAAGCAGCGACACAGTCAGACTAAATATGTGGGAATCAAGCTGAACTCCGATAAGTGCTTCGGCTGAGCTGGAGATATTGACAAAAACCAAGCAAGTTGTTGTTCTGGAACCCAATCTGGGACTACCTGCAGACACGACCAGTTCCACCAGATCCTCGTTTGCATGGCTGATTCTTCTGCGATACACAGGACCAGACATAAAGATAGCTCCAATCGTTTTGTTAATTGAAAAAAATGGTGTTGGAGTCAAAAGTGAGTACTCTACCAGCCCATCCACTCCTCCATCATGGTCCATTGCCATCACAAAACCGACTGTCTCCCCAGTCTTGGGATTTTCTGGAAGAAGGAAGTGGTACTGCTTCTGAGTGAAGATGGGACTGAACTCATCAACTCCCTTTATGGCTACTTGGACTCTTACCGTAGCTGATTTGTCACCTTTGTCTTTAGCCTCCACTACAAAGCAGTAATCATTCTCACGTTCATAGTCAAATGTTTGTCTGGTGTAAATGTCGCCACTAAGGGCATCAATGGCAAAAGCCTCTTTCCTCTCTGGGCTTCCACTGCCGTAGTCCATGAAGCAAGAGGATAGAATTGAGTAGGTCATCAGGCCATAGGGGCCAGCGTCTTTGTCAACAGCGTGGACAGAACATGTATGGGTGAATGCTGGGAGGTTTTCCAGCACTGAGCAAGTAACTGAGGGGAACATGAAGAATGGAGTGTTGTCATTCTCATCCAGAACGTTAACAAAGGCAACTGCAAAAGCCATGTTTTGGTTTTCGGAAGCCTGGTCCCCATCGATAGCTCTGATGGTGAGGATATACCTTAAATCCTCCTCATAATCAAGTGATTGGTTGACCATCAAAATACCAGACTGAGGGTCCAGCTTGAAGTGACCTTTACTGTTCCCAGAAATAATTTCATAATGCACAAGGCCATTGACACCAAAATCAGGATCCAGAGCACTAACGTGGATCAAGCTGGTTCCTATCTGGCTGTTTTCACTCACCTCTGCATGATACTCTGCACTGGAGAAGACTAGAGCATTGTCATTGCAGTCAGTAACAGTCACTTGAATGATCGATGAGCTGTTCAGGGGAGGCGATCCTCGATCAGTAACGCTAACTGTCAGTTCATAATACTCAGTTGTCTCACGGTCCAAGGGATTACACAAAACCAGCCTTCCAACATTTTTCATTTGATTTTCAACAGGAATCTTTTTCACTTCTAAACAGAATCGCTTTTCTTCATTTCCGCCAACGATGGCGTAGTCCAAATGGGTGTTTTCTGGGCTCCAATCTTCGTCCTGTGCAGAAATTGTGAGCAGGGTGGTTTCTGGGGGTGTATCTTCAGCAGTGGTGAGTGTGTAAATATCCTGGTGAAACAAAGGTTTGTGGTCGTTTGCGTCTACAACCACCAGGGCCACAGAGGTGACTGTGGACCGAACGGGTTCGCCCTCATCTCTTGCTTCAACCAGAAGATGGAGCATGTTGCTGTTTGTGATGGTCCTTAAAGGCTTGTTGGTGAAAATGGAACCTGTAATGAGAGTGTGTATTATTAAACAGATTTCATTCTGGTTTTAGTATACTTCTAGTATAATTATTCATACAATTTACAAAAAACTCAAAAAGTCGTAGCATGGGCATTGAGTTGAAAATTTATGGAAACTATTGCTGCATAATGTTTTTGTTTATGAGTTAAAGAAAAAAAAGTTTTTTTAAGCCATCAAAGTATTATGTTTTTCTAATTTCCACTTAGAAATTAGAAAAACATAATTTCTAACATTGGATGTTGCTTCTCTTTCTTCAAACTCTGGCTGGTCTTTACATTTCCATACTGTGTTATCTGAGATCATACTACAGATTATTACTATGATTTAGTATTTAGTAAAAAAGCTAATTCTAGCTAGAAGTAGCAGAAGTCACATACTTGCTCTCACGGGAGAAAAACCACCCACATTAAAAACTGATTCAATGTCTGGTTTAACCAAATACGCAAATGATGGCTGGGTTTCGTTTGCTTTGCATGAATAGTGATGATATTGTAAGGCCGTGTGTTGCTGGAGCTGCATCAAAGTTGCAGAAGTCATCAGATGCAGCAGAGCAACTTCATGTCCTGAGAAAAACGTTCTAAATGAATGTCACATGGGGACTGTAGGATCAATTTTCTTCTTGGATGCCATCAAAGATTTTCACCAAACAATTTCTTATTCCACTTCACTGCCATTTAAACTTCTGTACATGATGAGCATGTGGAGCAGAACCGTCCACTGAGGAACACAGAAAGACATAAAGTCCTGGGGCCATAGAAAGGCTGTGTTACGTTTTTGGATTGTCGTCATAAACCTTTAGTTAGTGTTCATGCACATTTCCTGTCATGGTCCTCTCCATAAATGAATGCATATAATTTTCACTGCATATTGAATTTAGGGCTGAAACTTAATACAGAAGGATAAATCTTCTTTTTATTTAATAAGGACAGGCCAGACTGACGAGAACTGGTTTGCTTATAGTTTCTTTTTTAAAGTGGCACAAGACCAAACCTATAGATTTTCTGAGATACGATAGCCTCACAACTGCTTTATGCTCTCTCATTTTTCTGGTTCAATAATTTTTTACACACGCTTTGAACACATAAACACTAGCTAATATGTTGCTGGCAGCAGTCAAATTCTTAGCAAACTTTGGTGCTGAATGAGGAAAGAAAAAGCAAAACATTTGCAAGAAAAGAATTTCCTTGACAAATACAAAAATTAAACTGCCAAATAGTACCATATAAACAGACACACATGTAAACAATCTCCTTTTTACCATTATCTTTTTGGATGTAGAAGGCATGAAGAGGAGAAGAAAGAAGTCTGTAGCTGATCTTTCCATTGAGACCAGAATCTCTGTCAGTAGCAGCAACATTCACAACTAAAGTGTCTGCAGAGACCAGCTCTGACACGTCCACCTGGAACAAACATATACAACAGGATTTACAAAATGTCTGACTTTCTGTTTAAAGTTTGCCATGAAAATATAAACCTAGCATCATTACCAGATCTTAAAACTAGGAGCCAAAGCTAATTTCAAGTGTAAAACATATTACAATGTCATTGATTACATTAGAAAAGACAAACTAAGAAGATATGGTTTAGCTGCACGTAGAAAAAAACGTTTTGCAGGTCTGGAGCACAGTGCACTGGTGTTTGTGAACATAGTGCGAGGAAAGAAACTATCAGCAGTCATTTTAAAAAGGTAAAGATAATCTGACAGTATTTTAAAGTCTGCTCTCTGAGCTCCAGGCAGCCAGTGGACAAACTTTTATCTTCCTGGTTTTAGTGAGAATACCAGCCAAGCAGCATTCTGGATGAGCTCTGTCTGATTAACGTTTATAGAAGACCAATGAAGTTATTTTGCAGTGAGGAATTTGAAAAAAGATAAACACATGGATGAGTTTGTCAAGACCTCGCTGGGACATTAGTCCTTTAATCTTCGGGTAGCAAGGCATAAAATAATGGGCTGGTTTTTAACAGGCTAGTTTCATAGTCAGCTTGTGACAATGTAATGTGGAGCTTTGGATCATCTGCATAGTTATGGTAGCTAAAGTTATTACTTGTTAAGTCAGACACAACTTCCAGTAAACTTTCACAATACTTGTTTACTTTCATGTTCATGTCATGATGGTGAGTCTGATTAATTCACTGAACAGTTTTCTGAAGTCAAGACCAAAGTTTTTATTGAGGATTGAAGTGATACAATCAGGAAAAGTGGGGTGAAAAAGAAAACATCAAGGGGCCAATAACAGGCCGTTTATTCGGTTAAATCGAGAGTGAGTTAGAGTGCAAAACGTTGTTAGCAAGGAATAAAGATTTAGAATAAACTCTCATAGCAGAGTTATAATTCATATTTGTAAATCATGAACCTATTTTGCCTCTTGAATTATCGGTCTTTTATGTGTACCTGGTAGGAGACCTGCGTGAAGACTGGACTGTTGTCATTGGCATCCAAAACTTGAACTTTGACCTGTCCGCTGGTTTGATGGAGCGAGTCCGACGCAGACACTCTCAGAGTGAACTCCGTTTCGGCCTCGTAATCTAGAGGTCGGGTCAGCGTGATGACACCTGTGTAGCGGTCAATAGCGAATGGGTCGCTGGTGATGCTGCTGTTTGAAAAACTGTAGGTGATGGTTGAACCGATGTCCACATCATTTGCAGTCACCTGGGTGACCACATAACCTGCTGGTAGATCTGAAGAGAGAAAAAAATTTCATAACTGGTGGAATCCTTTTCCAATTCTACTCTATAACGAAAAAGATGCTATGAGGAATTACACTAACTTTCATATATATAAACGGGCTCCAGGGGTGGGATGGCAGGGCTGTTGTCGTTGATGTCCACCACCTGGATTCTAACGGTGGCAGTACTGCTCAGTGGAGGCTTCCCATTGTCTGCTGCCTGCAGAATCAGCCTGGGACGTAATGGTGGAAAGATTGAGATAATGTCTCTCTGAACATAATTTCATGAGTATCTTGCAAAAGTACTCAGATCCCTTGATATTTTTCACAATTTTACCTTTATAATCAACATTACTGAGATTTTTGGAAATAGACCAACACAAAGTTGCACACAATTTTGCAATCAAAGGAAAATGAACATAGAAGTGCATTTTGATTCAGCTCCTTCACTTTGACTGCTACTAAATGAAATTCAGCAAACTTTCAGAAGTAACATAATCAGTAGAGAGACTCGTTCTTTGTGTAGATTAACCTCAGTATAAATTCAGATGAACTGTGAAGGAGTTGGAGGTTTTGTGAGAGAAAGCAGCATCAGGGAACATGTCAGGATGACGTTGTGAAGTTAAAAGCAGGAACAGATTATAAACAAAATCTCAAGCTTTAAATGTGTAGTAGATATTTCAACACGCAGAGACATGATTCACTTCATTTTTTCTGACTGGAAATGAGAATTCCAGCTTTGAAATGAAGTGGTATTTCATTTCTATAACAATCTGAAAGAAACCATGCACTTTACCCTCAAAAATCTGATTTGAGAAATTGGATTGTTTAATTGACTCAATATTAAATAAATAATGTATCAATATTTTTCTATGCAATTTTGCTTTATTTTAAAACACTGGAAGCAGCAGAAGTTTATTTAACACTAGTTGAGACATACTGTTCTTACTTGTAAGAGGGAGTTATTTCACGGTCCAGCACAACGTTCGTAGCAAGGATCCCTCTCACAGAGTCCAGAATGAAAGCTTCATTAATGTTGCCTGACAGGATGGAATACTCAATCTGTCCATTTTCACCGCTGTCAGCATCAGAGGCAAACACCTGTTTAAAATATGGGAAACAAGAAGAATCATTAAAAAGCCTTACTGCCACTGGATCTGTCCACATGATGAATAAAGTGTCTGTACCTGCATGACATAGGTGTTATGAACTTGTCCCTCCCAAACAGCCGTTCTGTAGTTGCTAAGTTCAAAAAGTGGTGCGTTATCGTTGACGTCCAGCAGCGTGATGGAGACCCTGCAGTGGGCTGTGTGCAGCCCGCTGTCGGCCAGAACCACCAATTGGATCTGAGGGCTCGCCTCGAAGTCCAGGGAGTTTTCCTTCTGCACTCGGATCTCACCTGACAAAAACGCAAAAAACTGCAGTGAAGAAAAAAAAATCTGCTGCTAAAACAAAAGCCATTAAAAACTGTGTTAGCTCAGCTACTTTCAGTCAGACGAACAGCTGAGAGCATATAATGAACGTAAGACAATCAATCAGACAGGAAAATGATACTTTTCTTCAGCAGGGGAAGATTTTTCACTTCAAGAATGAAGTGAAAATGGAGGAGCTAACAATGGATCAATGATAAAGGCTGAAACAAATTTGAGACTGGGGTTGAGCTTCCAGCAGGATGGCCATGTAACCATAGAGTGACAGCTATATTCATGAGTTTAATTCAAATCAAGACTCAGAAACAACATTGGAACACAGTTTTTCACACATTCTCTATCAACTCTGACTGAGGTTGAGCAGATTTACAAACCTTCAGCTTCTTGATGTGCACAGCTGGTGGACACATTCCCCCAACATCTGACTTGTTTTTAGAATCGTATGTGCTTTTTGTTCATGAGCTACTTTGTGTTGATTTTTCACAAAAAACAAGAGACGTTTATCAGTGTAATTTGACAAAATGTTAAAACATCCAAGTGCGAGGCACTACAGACACTTACACTATCCCTTTAATGTTAAAGGTGACAGCAACAGCTTTAAAAGAAGAAAGGAACAATTTCAATGTGCTCTGTACCTGTGTAGCGGTTTATGGAGAACGCCGCATTCTCATTGCCGCTAAATATCGTGTAAGTTATCCTCTGTCTGCTATTGGTGTCGTCACTGGCCTCCACTTTTGCAATCCAAGTACCTTGAGAAACGTAATGTGAAAATGTTGCTCAGTTTATTTGTATTATTTATTGAAAACATTTTGAGCAGAGGCGATGAGATGCACCTGCTCTGCTGTTCTCCTTGACGGAAGCGTTGTACACTTTGTTTGTGAACTGAAGCCCGTCATGCTCTCCCTTCAGATGGACCAACACCAGGCAGGTGGCGGTCAGAGGAGGACGTCCTCTGTCTGAGACCAGGACCTGCAGCTTTCTACCGGAGAAACCTGCTCTCACTCGCCTCCTGAGTGAAATCTCTCCTGAAGCGGAGTTGATGTCAAACAGACTCTCCTCGCCTGAAAACTTGAACTGGACCGTCCCGTTCTCGCCCTGGTCAGCGTCTGTAGCAACCACTTTGGTCACTATCTGATTTGGTTGTGTCCGCATGGAGACCCAGGCATGAAGAGGGTTTTGGTCGCAGACGGGCACGTTATCGTTGACGTCGTCCACCTGAATGGTCAGTGAAGCCACAGAGCTCAGTGGGCCCTTAGCGGAGCCGTCTGTGGCCACGGCTTTCAGGGTGTACAGAGCCTGGCTTTCTCTGTCCAGAGACCTGGTGGTGCAGACCACTCCGGTGAAGGGGTCCACCGAAAAAGCCCCCTGACTGTTGTCGTCTGTCAAGGTGTAGGTCACTTCTCCATTGGGTCCCTCGTCGGGATCGAAGGCGGTCAGCTGCAAGACCTCAGCCCCAGACAGTAAGCCTTCACTGACGGAGGTGTGGTAGCTCTCAGGACTGAAGGAGGGGGCGTTGTCGTTCTGGTCCAGCAGGAGAAGGAGAATCTGCGTGGTGGAGCTGAGAGGAGCAGGGCCTGAATCCCGAGCCTGAATGGTGAGAGTGTAGTTCTGAATTTCCTCCCGATCCAGAGCCTGCATGGTGCTGATCGCTCCGGTCTCACTGTTGATTGTGAATCGGCCTCCGTAGTCCTCACCTAAAGCCGTTTAAAAAAGTAAAAACAAAGAACAAAATAGAGTGCAGTTCATTTCAGGTTTTCAGTTTGAATTATTGTTACAAATAGATAAAAACATTGACATCATTAAATTCCAGTGAAGTACGAGCATTTTTTAAAAACAGCAAATGAAAAATGGAAACAACAAACACAAAACGGTAAAAAAAAAAAAAAAAAAAAACTCATTCATATCCTTTAAACTTTTTAATATTTTTGTTAGATTGCGACCACAGAGTGCAATGTGTTATTGGGATTTTAGGTGACACACCAACACAAAGTTGTACAAAAATGTGAACTGGAAGGAAAATTACAGATTTTGTGCATTTCACTTATTTATTTAGCAGCACAGTAAATGTAAAAAGGCTGCGTTTGGAGAAATTTGAGGCCTACCTGCAAAACTCTATAAGTTGGAAATCTAACACTCCTCACCATTATTGTGGCAGCTTCACGCTGTGTGGATGGTATTCTTAAGATGAAGGAGGTTAAATACAGAACAAGGCAAAAGCTTGAAAACACTTCAGGTTGCAGTGGAGGTCCACCATACAGGCAGAGCGACAATGGAATGGTTATATCAAAGTTATATGAATCAGCTGGAGTAGAAAAGTCAAAGTTCAGAACTAAATTTATTTGAATATCAGGCAAAAGCCTGAAAATCAATGCTTAAAGATGAGTTTGTTCTACTTTCCTTAGGAAAATGAGCTGTGGATATGAAAAGCTGATAAGAAGAGTCTTCTTCCCCCAACATCTGCAGCTTTAACTGCAGTGGACCTGAATACATAGGCATACCACACTTTTCAGACATGTATTTCTGAAAAACCACATTTCACAATTATACACTTCTCTACGATGGTGTACATGGAAAAGGAGGAGTAAAATTCTGATAAGAAAACAAAAATTTTGAGATTAAGCTCTGAATCTTTTAGAAGAAAAAAATACATGAAATGTATAAATCTGAAAAGTCCAAAATTTGCTAGAAAAAATCTCCAGTGAACGTTTGGGCAATAGCCCCGCCCCCCCACCCCCCCAAAAACACACACACACGTACGCACGCACGCACACACACTTACCCCTAAGGAGAATGTTTGGGACTGTGGGAGGAAGCCAGAGTGCCTGAAGAGAACCCAGCATGCACAGGGAGAACATGCTAACTCCCTGCAGAAAGACCCTGAGCTGGGAATCAAACCCAGGACCTTCTTGCTGCAGGGCAACAGTGCTTCCAACTACTTCACTGTGCAGCCCTTTGGTGGAAACGTATTCCTTTTTTAAAAAAATTAACAGGTTGAGCTATGTGGGTTTCCTACCTAGTATAGAGTAGTGAATAGTGCCATTTTCTCCCAGATCAGGGTCAGAGGCAAGAGCTGTATGTATAACTCCAGGAGAAAGATTTTCTGGCAGGCTGATCTGGACCAGTGGCTGCATAAACTCTGGAGGGTTGTCGTTGTCGTCCAGGATGGAACACAAGACCGTGGCTGTCCCCGACAGAGGACGGAAACCGTTGTCCCGAGCCTGGACTGCAGACAGAAATCACAAATGAGTCTTTATAAGGGAAACTTTGACAATTAGCAGGCAGACTGGCAGAATGCAACAGAAACAACCCGGAGCTCAGAGGGACATTTTGGGATTTGCTCCTCCAAACCAAGAAATTGAGCTTTTGTGTTTTTTATTTAGTAAAATTACAAGAAAGGAAAAAAAAAACAATAGATGAAAAGATAAATATACCCATGCAGTTTTTAATACACAGTCAAAAATACCTTTTTTATGAAAATTCTTCCTGCTGGGATAATTGTCACCACATATTTTAGTATTTCCTGACAAAAACTCCTGTGTGATTTTGGCTCAACTTCAGCACGTTCAACGTTTCCTGTCATTAAGATTTTATTATTACATTTAATTGTTCATCCTACTGGTGACTGTACAAATATTGTTATAAAACATCTGAAAGCGTTTTTAATCACTAACCACCGCTGGACGGGTGGTGAGGGTAATTACGGCGTGCAGCCACGTGAGAGTGAAAGCAAACAGAAGGCTGCAGTCGGCCCAGGCTGGACATGCACACTGGTCAGACCCTTCAACATAAATCAGCCTGCAGGATCAGGTCACCATCACATTGAAGGCAGAAGTCTTTATGACTTTGATAAGAAACAGACTGAAATGTAATTAGGTTGTGTTATTAACATTTGAAAGACTCGACCTCACTATCATCTGCCTGAAAATAAAAAAATCAGAAGGGAAACAAATGTAATGAGTCAGACCTGAAAGACAAACTCATCAGTGTTTGGGTGTAGTCGGGCGTTGTACCTCTCAGGGTGAAATGTTGCTCCTGTTCTCGGTCCAGGTGGGTCGTGGTGGTGATCAGACCAGAGTACAGGTTGATGCTGAACAGCTCATAGCCGGGTCCCGGCAGCAGGCTGTACTGCACCACGCCGTTGTCCTCTGGTTGGAGGAACAAAGAACAGAGACTGAAACAGGCTATTTCAATTTGTCAAAATTTAGAAAAGCCTTAACATCGTTTTATTTGATCTTCTTTTATGTACATTTTTAAGCTAGTCTTAACGAGGAAAATGTAGTTGTTTTTTTTTTCTACTGCTTTTATGGTTTTTAATATTTCAAAGTATTGAGCAACGGTCTCTTTTGAATTGTTGTTATATTTATGAATGTTGTTGAGATGATGTAAAGTTTCCCATCTGGCAAGAAAGCTGGCTCAGACTAACCTGAGTAACCTCACAGTAACCAAATAACAGTGTTAATAACCTTGATTGATTGATTGATTGATTGATTGTGGTAATTGGTTTTACTTGCAAAAAGTCTTCGGCCTTGACCCTCTGTTAATGATCGTCCTCTTCAAGCAGCATCGTTTATTGTTAAATGAGTTGCTGACAGCGTTTTGCTGCTGGCATTCTCACTAAAACCAGGAAGTGAGAAAACATCATCCAGCTGTAAAGATCTTCGATTGACTCACTGGAGCTCAGAAAAACGTATAATAACAGATTGTTACTTAAAGTAACTTTAGATGTGTGCATGATAATCTTGAGATACAAATCACAGTTTGCCACCAACCTGCTACTAAATCACATAATATTTCCTATCAAGGTCAAAGCTTGAATGTGCCAAACAGCACAAAATGAAACTGTCGTCCTCTTTGAAGACTCAAAATCTCCTTTGACTGCTTCACATGCATGAAGTGGATAAGTAGATCATCACAAACAGAACAATGGATGTCTTTGGTGGGAGCTTATGGAAAACAGCAGCACAAATGATAATCAAATAAGATGGTGGGAGAGCGCCCAGAACTGCGAGCCGAGGCAATCTGAGAAGAAAAAAAAACAACGAAAAAAAAGCGCGGCTCCTATTGGCACAGATGGCTTGGATTACTGCAATCATCATGAGAGACGACCACTCTGATCTCCCAGAGGAGCCATGTGCTTGCTGTTCTTAGACAATTCTCAGTCACAGGAATGTTGGTTCAAGTCAACCCCTCCCCACCTCCTGAACCTTCTGCTGCACAGCCTCCAGCTCCAGCATTTAAAAAGACTCCAACTGTCAGAGCCATCAGACAGACTGCGATTCTGGAGGGCGAGCGCCCACGTGTTAAAATAAATGGGACAGAGGTGTTGAGTAGGGACTATAAATAAGGATCATATGAATGAAATTTAGCAGGATGTAAAATAAGCACTGTGGTTGAGAGAGACGCTGATAAAATGACGTATAAATAAACTTTATGATCAGCAACTCTGACAAGATTATTATAAATCAAGCAAACCATAACTTCAATTCACTGTTATGCTGTCAGTCAAGCAAACATGATAAAGTTTTAGTTATTTAACCACCTTTGGCATAAACTTTCTCAAAACATTTAATTGCTAAACTGAGAAAGTTGCAGAAACTAGTCTTAAAATATATATTTTTTAACTTTATTTTGTTCTCTTTGAGTTTTATATTAACTTTGTGTGTTTGTTTGTTTTCTTGCTGTAACTTTAAGCTTTAAGTCCAGAAGCAGATGCTGCCATCTAGGGATGGTACAGAAACACTGCAATTTTTAGCCAGACAGGCTTTAAAACTGTTAAAAGTATTAAAGTAAATTAATTGCAAGGAATATATTTGATATACAAATGGACATATTCAAAATAGCTTCTTCCCAAAATCATTCAACACCCTGAACTCTAACATGCCCTAATTATATGGTGGAAATATGTGTGTGTGGGTGTGTGTGTAAAATGTCTATATTTCATTGTAAACATTAACATGTTTATGCTTATGTTGTATATATTTCCTACATTGTTTGCACTGTTTTGGAGCTTGATGTTAGGCAGCATAAAGTTAATTTATTTAAAACTCACTTCTATTTATTCTTGTTTAAGTTTTCTCTGATTCATTCCTCATTCTGGTGAAATGTTTACAATCAGACGATAAGAAAATTTGGCTTTGAAATTGAGAAGTGAAAGTGTTGTTTCCTTATGTTTTTCATGTAAAAAATAATTCAGAAATGTTGATTGGGAAGGAAGTAAAATAGAGGTAAATGATTTTGTTAGATAAACAATTTCTTTAAGGAAATGCATTTCTCAAAAAAAGTTTTGATTAGATTTGTATTTACACAGAAAATAGCATTAGTCAGGTAGAACAAATCTACTCTTGCTGTAAATTAAACATTAAAAATAATGTTCCACAATAATATCAATATTAATATCTAAAAGGAAAGATGTAGGTAAGTAGCATATAAATACCTGAATCCATATCAGAGGCAGAGACTCTGAGCAGTGGCTCTCCAGGGCCTTTATTCTCCACCACATTGGTAACATAGGTGGTCTGACTGAAGACGGGGGGCTGGTCGTTAATATCTCCCACCTCCACTGTCAGGGTCTGGGTGGAGGACAGAGAGGGGACGCCCTGGTCCACTGCTCGGACAGTCAGACGGTGGACACGCTGGGTCTCATAGTCCAAAGGGGCATGGAGAAACAGAAGGCCTACAGAGGATAAGAGAGTTTAAATAATATTCCAGTGGTAAAGGAATATTACTGCTGGTAGAAATAATGATACAAATGCTAAATATAGAATTTATTCTTCCTTGGCTGCAGCAGCATTATTTTCTGCCAAACATAGTGATTTGGATGTAGACCAAAAAGTTCAGTTTTGGTCTCATTTATCTTGAGAACCTTTGTTCTACTCCCGATATTACACATGACTTCTGATGGCATTCCCTTAACAATGGAAATAATTAATAGTGTTATTAAGTGCAGATCTTGTCAAAACACAGCTGTTAATCTCAGAGGTAATTTTCCTTCAATTTGACCAATATGTGCAGCTTTTGGAAGAATCACATGACACCAAAAAAATGGATTGTTTGTTGCTGTAACATGTCAAAAATGTGGAAACATAAAAATTCATACCATCAAAAATACATTTTGTTTTGGCTTAAGAATGATATTGAAAAAAACATGTAACTTATTTGTTTCATGATCATATAGTTTATGCACAAAAACAAACAAATACCAGTTTTCTCTTCCAGTGTGAAGAATCCCTTCTTGTTTCCATTTATAACGGAGTAGGAGATCAATCCATTCTCCCCCTGATCACCATCTATTGCCACAAAATGGTGCAGCAGACTGCCCACCTCCGTGTCCTCCATCAGCTGCATTGAGTGAGCAGACACGAACACAGGCCGGTTATCGTTCACGTCCAGCAGGAGGAGCCGAACCGTCACTGACGTCTGTTTACGCTCCTCCGTCCTCTCTGCCTGGTCTGTGGCGGTGACAGCAAAAACAAAAGTCGGCGTGCTCTCGCGGTCTAATGGTGCCGCAACTGTCATTGCACCTGTGTGTGAGTTTATGTGAAAAGGGAAGTGTGCGGGTGATCCACTGACTTCGGGGTCAAAGGTCAGAGTGTAGCGAATAGCACTGTTTGCAAAAGTCCCATCAGCGTCTCTGGCATGAAAAGCAAAGGCCAGCGATCCAACAGCAGCGTCTTCCCTCAGACCGAACATCAGCAGTTTATCGGGGAACCAGGGGGCGTGGTCGTTCACGTCCTCCACCGTGATGCTCACCAGCACGGAAATGTTCAAACCAACAGATGCACCGATGTCTTCCACTCGAGCCACCAGGAAGTACTGCTTGGCAGACTCGTAGTCCAGCGGCTGGTTGACGTAGATGTTGCCAGACGTGCCGTCGATTCCAAAGAAAATGCTCCCGTCTCCCTCGGCGATGCTATACTGAAACCTGCCTTTATTTAAAACACTGACAGAGCCGATGACCGTTGCAGGCTCGGCGTCCTCCCTAACCGAGAAATGCCTCACTGCTTGGTGATATGAGCTGCCGTACTGATCCTCCAACCCATAAACCTGCAGCAGAAATGCACCAAATGAAATGTATTTGCTTGTAGACTGAGACAAAAAAGAAATAATTCAAATTGGACAAAGACTAAAATAAAAAGTTACTGTGACAAAGCATTCATACCAATAAGATGCCTTCTATTTCAGGCTACAATCACTAAACATATTTTATTTCCTTGTTATGTGGAATGATTGTAGAATAGAAGAAGAATTATTAATGATTTTCAAAATGTTCAAACCAATAAAAATGCATGTACATCTGTATTGAGCCCCCTTTACTTTGAAAACCCTAAATAAAATCCAGTGCACCTAAATGCCTTCAAGAGCCACATAAAGAACAGAATCTGAATAAAATACACAATGTTTGTAACTTAAAACGAAAACCAATTGTGATCTTTTCTAATAAGACCTCCCTCCACCAGGAGGCGACCTAGAGAAAGACCCAGGACAGGTGAGTTTCTGAGTTCTCTGCTTAGGCTGTTGCCTCTGCAACCCGACCTCTGATTGATCAGGAGATAATGGATGGAAGGAAGGCACTGTAAATAGCCATCACAGTAAAAATAAATAAATAAAATAAATTGCGGTGTATGGAATGTACCTGTATGTGAACCACTGCTGTATCCTCCAGAGATGGGGCTCCACCGTCCCTGGCTGTTACCTTCAGAGTATAAAATGGTTCAGTTCTCTGACTGAAGAGCTGCGTGGTTCTGATGTCTCCATTTTTACTGTCAATCTCAAAGTGCCTGAGATCATTCTCCTCCGTTCCAACTGAGAGAGAACAAGTACATTCAGGATCTCACTGACTCTGGCATGTTTTGGGGCAGCAGAGAATATTTTTCACACTCACCTGTTACTAGGGAATGGGTGACAGTTCCATTCTCTCCAGCATCCAAGTCTTTGGCAAACATGTTAGTCACCAGGAATCCTGCAGGTACACCTGCCCATATCTGCAATGAGGACCAAACATAGATATTACATAAAGGAATGCATATTTAGAGATGGTTCAGCTCTGGTATTCAGTTGCTGTGTGTGACACCACTTGAAGCTTTAAATCAGTTCGAGCAAAGGTTTTATTCACTTTTACATCAATAGTTTTTCATTAAATGGTTATTTATCCAAAAGTCATTTTTAGCCACTTTTATACAAACTAGTGCAATACAACATGCTTGACAGAAGTTAGCAACAGATGGACAATTAAAGAAAACTTTAAATGAGCAATTCTGCAAGTTATAACAGTGTGCATTGCAGTTGGAGAGGAGAGTTAATGACTGGATGCAATCTGCTGGGTTTCCATAGGTAGAAACTTTTTAATCTACTTTGAATAAATAATTGAGAATGCTGTCCTGTTTGATAAGTAGAATCAACTGGAATATATGTGTGATTGAGTTGAAATGATTTTTTGCACAGTGCTTCGAAATGACGTTTTTCTGAATTTAACTGACTGTAGAATAAGTTACCAGAAGCCCAATGATGGATTCTATGTGACTAAATCAGTGATCCTTTTAAGTCTATTTGAAGTAACCGTTGTATGTTTTTTACTACATTACAACACACACTTTGGTTTAACACCAATGCTTACATAATTTCAGTATATAGGTGCACAAAAACCACTGTAAAAGCGTTTTAACTCTGATCAGAACCAAGCTGTGATTCTCCAAACTCATTTCGGTCATATTGCCATCGAAGTCAAATTTCTTACAGGAACATTCAGCTCTTTGCTGGAAGGCAGATGATTAAACTGTGGAGTGTTGTCATTGATGTCAGTGACCAGGACATGAACATTGGTGGTGGCATTGAGACGAGGGTGACCTTGGTCTGTCACCACAACGGTCAGGCTGTGCTGGCTGTGTTGCTCCCGGTCCAGCGCCACCCAGTTGATGATTTCACCTTAAAAAGAGAGAAACGAGTGAAAAAAGGAAACAACAGAGAGAACAAGTTGTTTCCTCTGGTAGACAACCAGAGGAAGCCAGAACAGGTTCTGGTAATAAAACTATTTTTACCTGTTTTAGCATTGATGCGGAAGTATTTCCCATCTGAGAGGAGGATGTAGGACAGCTGGCTGTTCTTCCCAGAATCCTTATCCTTGGCTTTGACTGTTCCCACCAGGCCTTGCGGAGATGACCCCTCTGATACAGTAAAGTAGTACACATCACTGCTGAACACTGGGGGATTGTCATTGACGTCCAGCACCAGTACAGTCACCATTGCTGTTGCTGTGACATTGGCCAGCGAAGCCTCTCCGGAGGTGGACAACACCTGAAAACGATATCTTGACTCGGTCTCAAAGTCAAGATTGCTGGAGAGATACAACCATCCAGACTTTGAGTGGATGCGAAAAGGAGGCGGAGGAAATCCAGCTTCCGCTTCCAAGGAGTAAGTGAGACCTGAGTTTGAAGTGTGAGACCCTCGAGTGCGGTGCGCCCTAACCTGGATGACGCGGGAGTCTTTGCGGTAGCCTTCCCCTATCTCCACCTGGTAGACCAGCGTCTCAAAGGCCAGGCTGTCATCTGCAGCTGTATGGTCAATGTTAATCGAAAGGGTCAGGGTGGAGCTCAGGGAAGGTTTCCCTTCGTCTTTCGCCAAGATTTCCAGGTTGTATCTTTGCTGTTGGCTCACTTGTAAGCTCTTATTAAGTCTAACCGTTCCAAGGTTTGAGTCAATGGCAAACATCTCATTTCTGCTGCTTTTCAGACGATACTGCACTACGCCATTGGCCCCGCTGTCATGGTCATGTGCGTGAGCGATGAACAGCACTGTTCCAGGCCGAGTGCTTTGAGAAACAGTGATGGTGTCTCTCCTCTTGGGAAACACAGGGGCATTGTCATTGACATCAGTGATGGTAATGTTGACCTGGGTGGTGCTGTAAATAGGAGACGTGTCTGTGTAGGACTGAAGGAACAGCAGGGCATAAGGCTGAGACTCATGGTCCAGAGGTTTAATGGTATTGATCACACCAGATTTCGGATGGACAGAAAACCAACTGTAAATGTTTCCAGAAGAGATTCGGTAAGAAACGGGCTCTGTAGCATCTGGGAAGACATGAAAAAAAAAAGTTTTTCACTTTGGAGTTTTATCTAGACGTTTTTTAGTTTCAACATGAAAAATATGCAACACATTTCTGTTTAGTACTTTTCATGACCATTTTTTGTCAAGCTCCTAAACTCTAAACTATAAAGTTTTTAAAGGTCTGATGAAGGGATGCATTAGTGTTGTGTCTGCACAAGAATGGACAGATTTGCAAAAACCGAAAATAAATGGATTAAAGCAGACCTTTTTTTTTCCAACAGCCTGTGGTAAAGACATTTTCCCATTTCTAGATGAATTATCAATTCTTTCTTGGACAACTACAACTGGTGAGAAAAAGAGGAAAAATAAAACAGCCATAATATCAGGAAATTCTTTGAAATACCTGCTAACAACCTGATGATAAAGACTACTTAGAATCATAATAATTTACAAATTGTATTTAATTGAACTGATTTTATTTGAATGGGACAATACATATTATTGAATGTACGACATTGCCATAAATAAAATGTGGCATTGTAGCAAGATTCCAATTTCCGTCTGTAGTCCCATGACACAAAGAACACAACATGAAAAAAAAGCTATAAAAATATATATTTGTACCTACCCCCATATTTAAAATCAATATGGGAGTAGATATTAAAGTGCTAGTGTATTTTATAATGTTGACAAAATCTGTCATAAACCTGTAATTGAAATAAGACATCTGACTGAGGTCAACCCCATCAGGGCTACTATTCACAGTTAAATATTATGTCACATGTTGTGAGATACAGACTCTGTACAACTGGATCACCAACATGGATTCATACTTTTTATGAATATAAGCACATTATGTTTCTCTATCTTTACAAATACTAATTCATTTCTATAGCCTAACACTGACTGTTACCGTAAAACTAACCATTACCAGTAACCCAAACACTAACCTAAACTCAACTCACACCTTAGCTTTAAACCTGACCTATAACCCCAAAACAGCACAGCTCAAGCAAATGGGCCTTACAGTGTAACAAATGTAAGCTCTTACATATGCATACAGGAAGACACACACACACAGAGTACATTAATTACATTAAAGGTCAGAAAATCCCAATAATCTCAATTATCTCTTCAGTGTGTGTGTTGCATCTCAACATCAGTTACAACCTACAGAAACAAGCATAGAGCTTAACACTGGCCGGCCCCTGCTGTTTCTACTTTAGACTGAAGTGTTAATCTGTAAGTTGATTAGAGAGCCTTGAATGACTGTCGGGTGTGTGTAGCCGAATGCTTTAACTAATGAGTCGTGTGGAGCAGCATGTCTATGTAAGAATAATCCTGGAAACCTTCAAACATGCATGTTTATAAAACAGAGCAAAACAATCTTACATAATAAGCTGTTTAATAACTGTATGTTCACATTAATTTTAACAGTCATGGTAAATAATGTTAAGTCGATGTGTGTATGATCAAAGAAAACAATAGAAATTTCTCACTCATTGTTTTATTCTGGATGTCAGTTCGACTGATATCTCTGTAATTGTTTTTGTCATAAACACGACCAATCCTGTCTATGTTAACTTCAGTAGTTATTATTGAGTTGGGTCAATTGGGTCTCTGTCTCTTTAAAACTCTCTCTTTCTGAAACTCTGCCTTCAGGAAGTCCTCACAACATGGCTCCATTATTAACTCTTTAACAACTTTTTTACCAGCGTTTCACTGAGAAGTAGCTCCTATAACGACCGCAACTGATGCACAGTTCCACCAGGTGTTGACTAATTTCTGCTAGCTAGTTTGAAGGAGCTGAGTTGAATGGTCGCTGTGGAGATTAAAAAATTTCCCAAACATGGATAAAAGAATCACTGATGTAAAGTTAAAAATAAAGTTACATTTTACATAATACAGCCTCTTTAACATTGAGGTGTTTGGGTTCAGGAAGGCAACTAAGCTTAATTTATTTTGTTCAAACTATATAAATACAATGTAAGTCACAGTGTTAACCGAACTTAGATTTATAATTGTCAAGGAGCGGAGTGGAGGTGGTGAGGCAGACGCTGGAGGCCCAGGTAAGGTGAGTGGTGTAGATTTAAGAACAAAACAGTCAACAAAACAAGTCCGCGGCCAGGCAGCATGGCTGAGCGGAAGCCACGCTCACACCGGTAGCAACTGGTCAAACAGTAATACAAACGACGACACTGAGCGACAACAAACGACAAGGACCCGACGAGGAACAAAGGACACAGGAGGGATTAAATACACTGAGAGTAATCAGGGGAACAAGACACACCTGGGAATAATTAACGAGGAGACTCAGGACACAGAAAATTCAAAATCAAACACAGAAAAACACGGAACATGACAATAATATTAGTTGATATTTTTGCTCCAGATATACTGTGACATGTGAGTGCTTGTATATACATCAGGAGAAGCTGTCTCAAAAACACCACAGCTGATGCACAGTTCATGTGCATCAGAACTGTGAGTACCGTATTTTCCGGACTATAAGTCACAGATTTTTTCATCGTTTGGCCGGGGGTGCGACTGCTGTCTAGTATGTGTAATTGGATTTTCAGCATGCACTAAAGTAAGAGTAATCTGATTGCTACTGCTTACAGACACCTTGCGCTTCCTTCTCCACTCACCGCTCAAGTTGCTGGCCTCCACTGTTCCCACAGATGTTCCCAGCGGTGCATCTTCAGGCACTGTGAAGGCGTAGCGCGACCTCTGGAACACCGCTGGAGCCTGACCACTTTGGACAATATTGATTGTGACCTCTGCAGGTCTGGCTGAAGACAAGCCATCTCCATCCTGCGCTGTTATTAGGAGCTTCATGCTGGCTGCACCCAAGTGTGTCAGAGAAGAGTTCAAAAAGAGCATTCCTACAAAAAAAATTAAGAAATGAATCAGATAGAGTTTGCTTAGTATTTTCACATAAGCAGGATGATGCAAAAATAACAGATTTATCAAGCTGATTTTTTTATTTCTTTAATCTAGCTCTAAATAATAATCATAATTGCTTCAGGTTAGAAAATGGCATTTAGAGCATTGTTAAACACAAGTTGATGATGTATTTTCTTTTTTACAGCTTTTGAATTCTGTTGTAGCTGTGCATGGACCTGGTTTTACCCCCAGCCACACTGTGATCCAAAGCTTTTAAGCTTTGTTCTCCACCCCCACTGAGTGGTGACACTTGGAATCATATCATGGGGATTTAGAGCAGCTAACAAGGCATTTATCCCTGAAAACAACTGACACTCAAACAGGTTACTTAAACACAAGTGAATCTGTGCAACAAATCAAGCTTATAGCCATTCTGATAACATTTTATACAACCCTGAGTTAAGAAAGGAGCTTCTAAGAAGAACAAGCTTTATAAAGTGGGGTAAGGTGGGAATTCATTTAAAATAATTTATTTTAGGTAAATTTGTAAAGTGTTCAACAAAATAATAATGTTAAATGACCATAAAATGTTGAGCTAAGACGTTGATGTTGCTCCAAATAACTTGGCTGGTGGATTGATAATAGAGTAAATCTGAGATTATAAATAACTTGTTCATTCATGACTGCAGTCAATGATTTTAAAACCATTTCTGGAATGAACTGGTGAACAGTGTAGTGACAACAGAGGTGGGTGTCAAAACTACAGTCAAAACTAATGAAGTATAGTCTTACAGTTTTAAAATATAAATACACTCCACCTGTGTGTCTATCCAGTGTGAACAAACTGGACATGTCTCCTGGATGAATTTCGTAGGTAATCTGTCCGAAGCGGCCGGAGTCCTGGTCGGTAGCGATAACGTTGACAACCTCGGTACCAGGCGGTGCATGGCAGCTGACGCTCACGGTGTATTCCTCCGGGCTGAACACTGGACGGTTGTCATTTAAGTCTTGTATTTCAATATGAACATATGTTTGAGCACTCAGGCCTCCCTGAATGAGAAACAAAGAATCAGAATCAAGAAAATGTAAGAAAACTTTGACATCATCTCACAATCATAGTATTGATTCCACTCACTGGATCTTCAGCTTTGATCAAGAGGTCATGGACACTCATCCCGTCGTCCCGATCGATGTCCTGACAGACACACAGCTCTCCTGTGTGTGGCTTGATTTGGAAAAGAGGATGACTTTCCTGACTGTCAAATCCATCTGACAGGGAGTAGAGCAGAGATCCAAACTCAGGGCTGTCTGCGTCTGTGGCAACAACCTAAAACAAAGATAAACACAAAACTCTTAAAATATTGTAACAGACACATCAGTTCAGACAAATCACATGTGTCATGTTTTTTTGTGATGTTTGTGAAAAAAACAACAACATCTGCTTTGTTTTTCACAAAACAGATGTTTTTTTTTGTTTTTTTACACATTTTTAAATTAAAATTTAGAATTTAGCAATTAAGAAAAAATCTGTCCTAAACGGTTGTATCAGTCAGGTGATGTTTAAGTACAACAACTGTCCCTCCAGGTCTTATCATCAGATTTCTTCGGCTTTTTGAATAAATATATGAGGAAAAACACACTACTATTACAATGGTAAAAAAATAAAAATAAAAAATGCAAAAGTAAGTTATTATCCAAATTAAAACTAAGTATTTAATTAATCCATTTGATCATAAGAAAATCCACCTTTTGTGTGCTACTTAGTTTTGTTTTAATGTTTTCTCATCTATACCGTGTCCAAAATATTATGTTAATTGGATTTAAGTGTGTAAAGATTTATTTTTTTGTTGTGCTATTAAATTTATAGATGGTTAGTGTATCAGGGCTCTTTGAATCACTATAATTAATTTCAGAGAGCTGGTTGATTAGTTTGTCTGGTGAAAGGAAATCTACTTAAAAAGGATGTTTCACATTATTAAGCAGGCCACAGGTTTCAAGCAAGAATCTCTCTGCTGATGAAAATCATCGGATAGTGTGGTGCCGTATGAAAAGGTATGAAAACATTAGATATTTAACAAAAACTGAAGCATTATGGTACTGTGAAGAGATTTGTGGCTCATTCAGAACAAAGATGAGTTTGCACAGATAAAGGCATAATGAGGAAGGTTTCTGTTAGACAAATTTATCAGATAAAGAGAGCAGCTGTTAAAATGCCTTTACGAAGCAGCAAACGGTTACTTGAAGCTGCTGGAATATCACTTGTCATTGGCTGCTATGGGCATTAAAGGGGAGAAACTCATGGTGTGGTCACCATCCTCCTCTGACCTCTGACCCTATTGAGAACTTTTAGAGTTTCCTCAAGCAGAAGATCTGAGGGTGGAATGCAGATCATATCAAAACAGCAGCTCTGGAAAGATTTTCTGACATCCTGCAAAGAAATTCAAGCAGAAACTTCACAAACTCACAAGTTCAATGGATGTAAGAATTGTGCAGGTGATATCAAAGAAGGTCCAATGTTAACATATAACTCGGTCTGTTAAGATGTTTTTGATTGAAATAGGTTTTGATTTTAGTACCACCACTCAATGCTCCACATTCAAAGAATGACCATTTGCAGTTCTTTATAATCCATAAAATAATAATAATAATAATAATTTGGAACAATGCATTTTTTTATTTTTGAAAAAAAATACTGTCTCGTGGAGCTTTATTCAGTAAAATTAGATTTATACTGTAATAGTTCCTGTAATAGTAAAATTATACTGACCATCATTTGCATTGACCATTTAAGAAAATATCACTTGCATAATATTTTGGAACACGGTGTAATCTGTAGTCTGTTTTAACTCCACATTTCTGGAAATCGTGAATCATAAAATGAGTCATTCTGTTGGTGAAGGTCAACATAATAAAAGTGCAGAAAAAAAGTAAAATCTTTGGAAGTCAAAGGGCGAGGAGTGCCATCGCTGTGAAGTTCAAAGAAACAAACGCAGCACATAAGAAACACCTCAGTACCAACTGTTTCTTTCATGTCCGCCTACGACCAAGACAAGAGGCAGATTTACAGTGAGGCAGATCATTTCCAGGCCATAAAGACGATAAGAGCTCAGAATGAATGAACTCTGCTCACGGGATATTTTACAGACACCAGGCCAGAGTCTAATGAAACGTGGACTAAAGCGCACTGATCATCAACAGACTGATACAACTCGACTGTTTGACTAAATATATGAGAAAAAACACTCAACGTCTCATTTATTCATTTACTCACTAAAGAAAGGTTATATTCATTTATAGAAACAGAACTATTTAGTCCTCACCCAAAGCAAAAGTCCCTTCAGACATTACCAATAATCAATTCCTATAATCAATTCTGTGCAGTGATTAGAGGTTTCTTTTGTAATTGTATATGTTGGTGCCAAGCTGCAGGAGAGAGGCACGGAGCATCGCGTCTGTCATATGAAAGCCATGAAGCTGAGCTGACAGCCTGGGATGTAGAGTGCGTTGTTGGTGAAACAACACTGATGCCTTTGTATTGTCACTCAGAGCTACTTTTGTCTCAAGAGTTGGAAAAAAATCTACTCAGCACAAAAAATGACTCAACTGTGAGGACCTCTAGCTTTCATTTAAAGGCTTATTTAAATGAAAATGTGAGGATAGAAAAGTAGTTTTCCAGTAGGGGTGCACCGATAAATCAGCTAGTTGATAAATCCCTCAATTTTGGGAGATCAGCTGATATTTCATGACCTCATCTACGATCATGGCCTCCTTACTTAGGCTGCTGCCCCCGCAAGAAGATGGATGGATTTTACTAACAACAAATATTGTGAAAAACAAAAAAAAGACAACTTGAGAACATATATTTAAATATTGGAACATACATATTTCAAGATCGCTAGCTAGAGCATACTTGTAAGAAGCAGCTTCCAGCGTCCATGTGCTCAGGTATGGACACGTTGTACAGCTGCTGCTGGAACACCGGCTCATTGTCATTCACATCCTCCACCAGCACTGTAACTGTAGCTGTAGACGACAAAGACGGCTCCCCTCCATCCTCTGCCAGCACCAGGAACCACAACTCCATCTGAGTCTCCCTGTCGAGGCCTGCGGCTGTGGTAACCAGGCCGGAGGTCAGGTCAATGGCGACCAGGCTGTCCTGGTGTGACTTCAGGATGGAGTATCTGATGTTTGAGTTGACACCTTCATCAGCATCCCGGGCCCTTGTTTGTATGAGGGAGCTCCCCTCAGGAGCATCCTCAGCGATGTTGACAGTGTACACATCCTGTTCAAAGACCGGCTGGCAGTCGTTGGCATCAGACACCTTCAGGAGGAGAAGTGTCTCACTGCTTAGAGGAGGGCTTCCAGAATCAGACGCTTGCACCTTCAGCTCATACAGATCCTTTTCTTCCCTGTCTAGCTCAGAGTTGACACACAACGCATACAGAAAATCATCTGTTTGCTTCAGGGTAAACTTTCCATCTCCTCCTGCAAGAGAGACGGTGATTCGGTGCTCCTCCAGGTCTGGGTCTGACACAGAGACCCGGGCCACATATTCCCCAACGGCGGCTGCCTCTGACACCACAGCTTCTCCTGTCTCACTGAGGAACAGCACACTGATGGTGGGGCTGTTGTCATTGATGTTAAGCACCCTGACACCAACAAACGTGCTGCTGAACTCAGGCTGAGCACCATCGTCTCTGGCTCTGACAATCAGCTCGTGAAACGGCTGACTTTCAAAATCCAGCGGCTTGTTCAGATAAATAAATCCTGTGGTTTCATTAATGGAGAATACATGGTTGGGGTCACTTTGCCGCCTATTGATCTCATAAGTGATCCTGCTGTTGTCACCCAGGTCACGGTCGCTGGCTACCACCTGAGAGACAATGGACCCGATGGGAGCATCCTCCCGTACTGAGCTGTGGTATTCAGTCTGGTTGAACACAGGAGGGTTGTCGTTCTCATCCAGGATGCGGATGTCAACCTGGACTGTCCCAGTCCTGGCTGGGATTCCCCCATCAAAGGCCTCAATGGTCAGAGTGTAGAAGTCCTGTGTTTCTCTGTCTACTCTGCTGTTCAGGACCAGATCCAGGCTGTGCTGCTTCTCAGATCCGATTCGAAAATCCAAGTGGAACAATTCTTCCATCTCACTCTGTCTGATCCTGTATCCCTGCGTGCTGAACTCCTCCTCGTCCCGGTCTGCTGCGCCTTCGAGCGGAAAGCGGCTCCCCGGCGGGCTCAGCTCTGAGATCCCCAACTCCACTTTCTGCCTGGCAAACACAGGTGAGTGGTCGTTCACGTCCTCCACCTCTATCCTCACCCGTATCATCTCTCCTGTGAGAGTAGCTGCCACAAACTCGTACAGGTCTCTGCTTTCCCTGTCCAGGCCCGACACCGTGGAGATGATGCCCGTGTCCGCGTCTATCTCCAGGTCTCTGAACACATACGAGTCTCTGCTCTCTGAGATGAAGAAGCCGGTGCTCGGCGCGCTCAGGACCGCTCCCAGGTCTCCAACGATGGTTTTAGCGGGCAGGTCCTCCTTCACGCTCAGCGTCAGGTTGAAGACCCGTCCGAGCGACTGCGCGCAAAACAGCGCCAGGACGAACACCTGGAGGAGCGCAGCTGGCGCGTTCCTTCCGCCCATGACTCCTTCACTCGTGGCTTTGGGATCCTTTCAGTAAAAGGTGAAGAAAAACTACATCTTTTTCGCGTCAGTCGCGTTTTAGAACCACTTTAAAAACAAAAGCTTCTGAACTTATCTCGAATTTCCCCAGACTCCAGTAATTATCCATTCGTATTTGAGTTGTTTTTTCAGGAAAACTAAAAGCTTGAACTTCTGGCACAATGCTGCGTAAATCCGCTGGGACATCTCATACAATTCGGCACATCCAGAAGTCCAGTCTGCGCACTGGTGGCTCCTCCCTGCAGGCTGTAACACCGGGCCCCACGCAGATCGGGCCCATCTGTGGCCGTGATTGCTTCAAATGTAATTAGGACAGCAGATTACCCTGCTGGCAGGTGGCCTGTTGCTTCTGGACTGCTTTCATCAAAAAGAGACAGAGACCCTGCAAACCTTCAGGTTATGGAGAAAAACCTTGATTACTTTCATCATAGATTTATCACAGAAGTAATCTCCTTTCAACCGAACTGAAAGAAGCGGCAGTAAATAAACTATGAATAGTTTCAACATAGTTTAACAAGCTGTTAAACTTGGGAGAGTGTTGAAGCAGCTCCCTCTGCTGGTGAAAAATAAACTAAATTGAATTTTTATTTTTAGTCTTGAGTGCTACAATTTAAAAAATATGTATATGAATGAAACCTGAAACAAATTTAACGCAAAACAAATGATTTAAGAAATGATTTATAATGTGTAATAAAAGTCTTTACATATCTGATGTTAACTGCACCTCAGTGCATTTTCATCCCTGCAGATAAAATTATATTTTAACTAAATGCAAAAAAGTGACTTCCTAATCACTCCACTGTCTAGATTTCCATCTATCTGATCCTGCTTTAGCTTGAAGCCTGTAATCTTCTTCATCTCTGATATTGTTCTTCTGCAGTTTATTCTCATTTTATTTTCACTTCCTATAAGGAAGACGCATGCTACATGTACATTTTGTTACATTTTTTACTTTGCTACACATCACTTTTAAAATCACATTTAAATAACTGAGATATAGTATAATGATTAAATGCTGACCAGTGACTAGTATTTTTGTAATACAAGCAGATGTTTTAACGTGTTGACCTCACAGATGAGTGCTAGATGGAAATAGTTCAGGAACACTTTATCGCAGGAGGTGGAGAACCTTTATTTAAAAAGCAAACATGTTTGTAAAAAACAGGGCAAAATAAAGCTTAGGTCATGTAGGAACAAAAGAACGTTTTCATGTTTATACAACTAGTAATCAGCACTGAGCATTTCCTGGAAGTTTCTGGCTCTCCAACAGGATGTTCTGACTTGTCTTGAAACATTCAGTGGTGACTGTACATGGTTTCTAGAATAAAGGAAGCCAAGAGGGGACTGGTTTGATTAAAGTATCACAAATGAAACAGTTTTTCTAACAAAACAAAATCTGATGGACGCAAAATAATAAAAAACAAACTCTTCAGAATCTTTTTCTCTTGAGGATTTCTGGTTTCCAGTTGATCGGGTGGCTTTCTTCAGTCTGCAAGACAGAAAACACCATTAGCCCATTTTTCTACAGACAGATTCTAAACTCACTAACTGGAACAGGATAACTTACAGCCGTGTCGTCTTCTTTGTAAACTTTGATGGTTTTGTCAGCCTCGGCGGTGATCAGACGGCTCTCGGAGTGGTCGAACATGCAGGCGAAGATTCCCGACTCGCTATCCAGCGATCCGGGCTGCACGGCGGCGTGAATCCGCTGGAAGTTGTAGCCTGTCCTCCAATCCCACATGTGCATGGTTCCGTTGTCAGCTAGAATACGAGCAAATTATTCTGTGTAAATGTATATGTTCTATCACTTTTGCTACTCATGATATGACACGTGTATCACGATACATAATACATGCATCATGCGGTAATCAAGAGTCATGTTAAGATGAAAGAAACAAAAGCATTTTTTTTAAATCACCTCCAGACACCAAAACACCATCAGAGTTGACAGCCAGAGTGTTGATGATGGCGTTGTGGCCAGAGAGGTTCTGGATGAAGCTGCCATCTGGGAACATCCACTGCTTGATGTTATCAGCTGATCCTGAAGCAAAGGTGTACCTGGAGGAATAAAGACCCAAATACTACATAAAAACTCCACCTTTGCTTTTTAAAATGTAGTTTATTTCCAAAATGGCTGTGTAAAAGAACAACAACAAAAAAACCTTCATACACCTAGCAAACAGGAGTAAAAAACAGTCCAGAGCTCCAAGTTCTTTCAGTTCATTTAAGGATCAAAAAGACATATTCTAGATGTTTTAGAATGCTAAATATTCAAGATATTTAAGAAGTTTTAAAAGAAAGAGAAAGAAGAGAAAATAGGACAAGCAGAAGCAAGGAAAGGAGAGATCACAAAGAACAAAGGAGAGACAAGGATGGTGAGGAGTAACGGCACAATGGCACATAATTAAGTAAATAAGAAGAGGAGTCAAAGAAGGAAAAGATAGCATCAGATGGGCAATAAAGTGTTGAAAACAAAAACTTTTTACCAGTTTTTAAAAAAGAAAATTAAAAAACACTTCAACCAAATCCCAGATGTTTCCTCTCTGCACATTAAAGCTAGTCTACTACTGGTATGAGTCTACTCACTGCCTGGGGTGCAGCACCAGAGTTCGGACAGACTTTTTATGGTTTGTCAAAGTCGCTCTGGTTTTTCCAGCGATCAGGTCCCACAGTCTGATGGTTGAATCGTGGCTGCCTGCAAAAAACAGTCAGAGGAAAGACAAAGACTTTGCTTAAAAACTGAAAGGGTGCTCTCTTGCATTAGCATAAGGTTTTTAAAACTAATAGTGACCTGTGATGATTTGTGGTTCAGCAGCCTGACATCTCACTGTGGCGACAGTGTTGGTATGGCCAGTGAGTGTGTGAACATTTGCTTTTGTCCTGATGTCCCAAACCTGCAGGTATATTAAAGAGAGGGCATCGTTTAAAACAAAGCTCTACTGCTAGAGTTCCTCCCTATGGTTCTGACATCTAGTCCACATTCCACTAACATCAAAATTTGCAATTACAATGATCTATTATACAAACTTAAAATCACACAGGAATAAGAATATTCACACAATAAGTCATTTAAAAACATGGCACGCCATCATCCTCCAACTACTTCCTGTCATCTTTTTCTTTGTGGTTTGCGCCAGTAGAAACATCCGGCTGTTGATGTGACTCCTGTGATGTGAAAAAAGTGTTTCCTTTGGAGCTTTGCAAACTACACAAATTTCAATGCGGACAAAAAAATCCCGCACCACATCCAAAGTTCAAAGCTTTCTATCGACAGACAAGAGTTCTTTCAAAGTTGCTGTTTCCATTATGCAAATTTATTTTCAGAATGCCAAATTGCATTTACATCATTCCAGAGGTGAGCTGTGACTGCTGCAGTCAAACAGAATCTTAGCTTATAAGCTGAAGAAAACTGAAGGGTGTTAAACCTCTATTTACTCTCTGCTCTGTTGCTTGGACTGCTGAGTTAACTGATTTGAGTTGCTGCTCAGTGAGAGCTCACCCTCGCTGAAGCGTCTCTGCTGCACGTCACCAGCACATCAATCGTTGGGTGTAGATCCAAATCGTACACGGCACTGAGGTGTCCATGGTAATGCCTGATCACCTACAGGTCAAAATAATACTGTCAAGATGCAGCTGAAACATCATTGAACAGATAACACAATAAAACATCCATATGTAACAAAACTATGTTTAACAAAACATCAAAGGGTGTTTAAAACCACCATCTTGAAAAAAACACACCCAAAAAACAAAAAAACTCTTGCTGACAATAACCCTGTGTGAACAGTGTACCTTGTTGTACTCCAGATCCCAGCATTTGACCTGCTTATCTTCGCCGCAGGAGAAGAGGTAGGGGCTGCGGCTGCTCACCGCCACGCCGCGCACCGTGCTGATGTGGCCCGTCAGCGACAGCTTCAGCTTCCCGCTGGCCAGGTCCCAGATCTGCCAGCACACACATCCAGAAAATATTTATACAACAGACGGCTGAAGTGATACTGAACAGAGGGCCTGAGATATTAATCTGGAATCTTCAAAGGAGCCTTTTACCAGGAGTGAATTAATGCTGATATGAATTGCTGTAGATCAACCGCACCCATAAAAATACTCACATTAATTGAATGAAGAAAGAAATCAATAATATTGTAGAAGAAATGCTGAAGCATGAGTCATTTTCTTCAGCTTCATTCTTTTTATGATTAAGTTAATAGAACCACTTTTGGATTATAATGGACTCGTAGTTTTAAGTAAAAAGAAATACTGAACATATTCACACTTCAGAAACAATCACATGTTTCTGAACTGTGAAGCTCTGATGTTCGAATGAGCACAGCTTACCTTTATAGTTCTATCAGCAGATCCTGTGACAAACCACTGGTTCCCAGGCTCCACAGCTATGGACCTCACCCAGCCCAGGTGACCGCTGATGACCTGTCAGATCACATCCACCACAGAACATAACCACACACTCACTCAGTTATCATTTTAGGCATGATTCCATGAGTTGTTGTTCAAATGGTTTGTACCCGAAAGAGTTTCCATGGAGGATGCCACTGTGGTTTAGGCATCGTTGGTGCTCTCCTTATGAGCGCAGAGTTTCTGGTGCCTCCACCCTCCAGCAGGGACTGAAACAAAGAAACAGATATAGTACTTCACTAAACAAAAAAGGATCATTATTTGTTCTACTTATGTCATTTATAAAACATGCTATCAACCTTTGGTTTCATGAAGCATAAAAAGTGATGCATACGGTAATTAAAGCTCCTAACATTCATTTAATTTAAAATTTGGGTCTCAATTATTCTAAATGGGGATAAATGAATTGCTGTAGATGCAGAAAATGCAGACTTTTGAATGTTGCCAGGTCGGTTTAAACATCATAAAACACTAATTTCCCGCAAAGATCTTCACATGACCTCCAAATAAACAGACAGTTCATCTCTGATATGTCAGATCTGCAATTTCTGCATCATGATGAAGACAAATGCTGAACATGAGAAGAAATGTGGGACTGTCTTACCACAGCAGACTGAGGGTGAACTCTGTCCGCTCCTCCTGCGTGTCGATGGATTTCTGCAACGCTGGCTGCAGTCCGACTTGCCTCTTGCCTAAAGTTTTGTGACAAATTATAATCCAGAAGTGTATTTTTCTCA